GCGCTGCCCTCTCATGGCTTCATCTCACCCTCCCAAAAGCCCACGAGGAAGAAAACGCCATTGCACCCATTCACCAGATATGCCAACCGAGGCTCCAGGAAGGTCAGGTGGCTCACCCAAGAAATGACAAAATACACGGGAGGGCCGTATTTGGCCTGTGGCCCCTCAACCTTGAATATTGAACCCAACTACCTAGTCTTACAGATAGGGAAACTGAGGCCCAGAGAGGTTAGGAACTGTGCCGAGTAACACAGGGGAAGGGTCAGAAGCTGAGACCTGCATTTCTAGACTCCCAGCCCTCCTCCTTCTCTTGGCTACCCCTCCTCCTGACCTCCTGGCCTTCAAAATTCTCCTGCAGGCTCTTCAGCTCCACTCACCCCTTGTTCACACAGACAGTCCCGGGCTACCAGCTGGAAGACCCGGTTCCAATCCGGGCTCAGTCCCAGACTCCTAAAATCAAGTCCACTGTTTCGCTTTTCTGGGCCTCCGCCTCTGCGATAGCAACCCCACCCTCACCCGGTGGGTGTGCAAATCAGATAAGGTCACCCGGACGGAATGCACCCACAGCAGCTCCTGCTTTTCCTTCCCCCTCTCCGTGCTCCCCGGATCCGTGCCCTGCATCCTGCTGCTCTCTCCCCGGGCTCGGCCGCGGGAGCTACAGAGCCATGAAGTTCGGGGCTGGGAGAAAACTCACTTTCTACAGCGAGGGAGGCTGGGGTGGGCGAGACCAAGAAACTGACGAAGCTCTCACAGCCTGTGGGGACCCAGGGGTGCCCCGACCCAGGACATGCTCCGCCCCGTCCTCCCTCCCTCACGGGCAGGGTCTCCAGCACCCCCCGCCGCCCCCCATGCTCCGCCCCAAAGCGCGGTCGCCCAGATTCTGAGAGGGGCGTTAACCCTTTGCTGCCAGGGGCATGCCTCGGCCTCGGGGCCTCGGGGGCCTCCGAAGGGGCGCTGGGTGGGGGATCGGAAGGGAATGGCCTTGCACCCGGTCCGGATTCGCCCTGTCCCCCGAGGATGACACCTTGTGACCCGAAACCCAGGCGCCGCGCCTCACCTGCAGCCGCGGCTCCGATCGCACACTCACTTCCTGCTTCCGGCTCCCCCATTCATTGGGGCTCCGCGAGCCCCGCCCCCTCCGGCCAATCGCCGGGCCTCGGGCTCCAGATGGGCGTCCCCTCCAGCCAATAGGAGCGCGGAAGCGTGCTCCGCCGGCCCGCTCGCTCCCCGCTTCCCGGGGCTTCGGGGTCGCGCGGGGGTTGGGGGGTGGGGTCCCGCGGCCTCGGCCTTTTGTCCGTGGGCGGTGCTCGCGCCGGGGCGGGGACCCGCGTGGCGGGCCTGGCCGCGGCCCGGCGCCGGCAGACCGGGCTGACCAGGTCCCCGATCCGGGCGGGGCGGCATGGGTGTCCCTGACGGAGCCCCCGGGACCTCCACTCCCCGCCCCCCCCCCCACACACACACACGCAGCCTGGACCCCGATCTCCTATGGGGTTTTCCAAGCTTCCATACCCCGCCCCCCAGCCTCCCCAGCCGGGCTCCCCTCCGGGCAGGGTGATGTGACCTCAGAGTCTGGCAGGTGGAAGCCTGCACCATGGGGAGGATGTGGCGCCCCGCCCTCGTTGGGTTCGATGGCGGGGGGTAGTGGGGGTGGACGCTCTTTGGGGTCCGCCGAGCTCTCCGGGCAAAACGCACAGCGATTTCTTGCTGCTTGTGGGGCGCCTGATGGATGAGAAAGCCGCCTGCGACCTAGAAAGGCGGGCCAGGGCAGAGCGGGCCTGAGAGCCACCCTTGTGTGCCTGGACGGCCCAGCTGGGACCTAGTGGGAGTATTGGGAGGGTCCCCGATCGGAGTGGAGGCGGAGTCAGGCCATCTGAAGTCGAACCTGGCCTCCACGCCTACCGGCTGGGCCCTTGGTTGGGTCCCTTGACCTCTCTGAGTCTTGGCTTTCTTAGCAGAAAAAAACGGGGCTAATAATTGTTTCCTCTCTGAGGGATGGATGTCAGCTTCACTGAAGTGTCCACTCTGTGGGATGGATGTCAGCTTCAGTGAAGGGTTGACTGGTCAGTGCTGCCCCCTAGTGTTGTGCAGAGAGGATGCGGGGAGAAGAGGAGACCGGAAATCCACATCTGCTCCTTGCCAATCTGGGCTTTGCCACCCCCCCCACCCCCCCCCCCCCCCCCCCCCCCCGTCTTGCCCCAAAGCAACCTCTGCCCAACCTGAGCACCCGCAAAGCTCACAAAGCTCAGCTGTTCGCTCTGAGGGTGAGCATCCTGGGAGGAGCGCAGTAAATGGGCCCATGTCCTTAGCAAGCCAGCCTTCCTCCTGGTGCATTTCCACCGTCTGTGAGTACACAATCTTCCTTCCTGACGTGGGTGGGGCTGGAATGTGCACCGGGAAAGGGGGCAGTAGGCTGTCCACTGCCACCAGTGGCTAATTCGGGCCAACAAAAGACCCCGATACTCCTGGGAGCCTCAGCAAGCTGCATTTTTCTGATCCTGGCTACTCTGAGCCTAACTGGGCCCCGTACTAGCAGCCGGACATGGAGGATCTCATTTGATTTGTGCAAAAACCTTGAAATAGGGTATCCTCATTTTACCCGTTGTACGGGTGGGGCAACAGGCTAATAGGTTCGTTGACTTCCCTAAGACCACCTAGCATGTCCTGAGGTGTCCCTGCACTGGGATTCAGCCTTCCTCAGACTCCACCTGTCTCCACGCACACACACACGTACGCACACACAGCAGTCCACTCCCTGGCGTCCTGACTGTCCCAGCCTTCTCTTCTCATGGGAATGAAGAAGAGATGGGTGGGGAAAGTAATGTTAAGGACCTACTGTAGTACAGGCACCCTCCATCATTCACAACCACCCGGTGACAGGGCTTTTATTCCATTTAACAGCCGAGGAAACGGAGACTCCAGGAGTGGGCAAGGGCAGAGCTGGGCCAAGACCAGGGCTGTCTGACCCCCTCCGCCACCATTTGTGAGTTCTCCTTGGGGCTGTGCCTGTGCCCGGTGCTCATCTCTCTTCCAGAGCCCGAGATTCCCTGCTAGACCGGGCCAGAATGTTCCCGTCTGGTTCCCAGGCGGGGCGAGAGAGAGAAGCACTGGGAAGAGTTGGATTCCTAGTGCTGTGTGTGTGTGTGTGTGTGTGTGTGTGTGTGTGTGTAGGAGTCTCCATGCTTCCATACCCCCCCCCCCAGCCTCCCCAGCCGGGCTCCCTCTGGCAGAGTGATGTGATGCTCAGGAAGCAAGAAGCAAGACTGATCACCTCCCCTCTCACCACTCTGTGGCCCCAACTAATCGCACTCCCTCGGCAGCCATCTCCCTCTGGGGCTGATGTCCAGGTCAGGCTTATATTCAGAGCCTCCTCTGCAGGTTATTCTTTTTATCTCCAGAAACTGTCTACCCGTCTTCCTAGCTCACTCCCCCGAATAGTGGTCGCCAACCTTTCGGACCCACGGACCTCCAGCGGTCTGCGGGCCACCGGTTGGCGGCCGCTGCCCTGGAAATAGTCTGGGGCAACCTGCGCAGCCCCCCAAGCTTGTCTTGGCTCTCAGGATCTGACTCAGACTTGGCCTCCATGGCAACCACAGCCCACCAGGCCCCAGTCCAAGGTCGCACCCCTCATTCCTCTTTTCTGCCCCCTCCACGCCCGGCCCGTTTGTCCTGCCAGCACCTGTGCCCCCGCTGTTCCCCTTACCTGGGCTGCCCTCCCATGCCTCCCCCAGTCCGAGGAAAGCAGCTCAGTGTAATGGGGAAGCGGGCAGCCAAGGACTGGGATCTGGCTTGGCCACTCCCTCGCAGTGGGGCTTGGAGCACGCACCTCAATCTGCCCGTAAACAGAGCCGGCAGCACCTCCCTCCCGGGTTCCTGTGAGGATAAATAACCAAACCTCCAGAAGCAGAGCCGATGCCCGGCGAGTGCTCAGTGACCAGAGTTATTATTCTCATCAGCACAGTGCGGGGCACAGGTGGGCATTCGGAAACGGTAGCCCTTATGTCACAGCCAAAGCTCTGGAACGGCGAGTCCTCTCTCCTCTCTCGGCACCTGAATGTCCGCATAAGAGGTTCTGAGTCCTCCATCCGGCACCTTCCCTCTCGACACGGCCCCAACCTCCCACCCTCCCGGAGGCCGGCTCCAGCCACCGGGGCTCCAGCCACAATGCACCCCCCTAGGTTCCTGCTTACTCACTCGGAGCCTGTGTCCGCCTCTCCCTCCCGCCGAGGGTGCCCTCCCCTTCCTGCGGGGGGGGGGGGGGAATCCCTGAGCTCCTGTGCCACCTCCTCCGCGACCCTCCCTCGCTCTCCCACCCGCCAGCCAGACCCGCACCAGCCCCGGGATCTCTGACCCGGGCAGGCAGGAGGCCACGCGGTCACTCGGCCGTGCGCTCCAGCGTCCACCAGGCTGTGAACTCCACCGGGCAGGCAGCCAGGTCTCATCGTCCTTGTGTCCCCAGAGCCCACCCGGCTGGAGCCCGGCCCACAGGGTATCAGCTGGCCCCAGCCTGCCGTGGGGGGCGGAGGCGCTGGGCACATGCGGGACACGGGGGCGGGGGGGGGGGGGGGAGGAGGCTGGTGAGGCAGCTGAGCAGCGAGGTTCGCAGGACCCGGGGCGGCAGCCGGTGGGTATCGGAAGCTGGTCAGCAGGCTCCGGGCACAGCCAGCCCCAACCGGGGGTCAGGGGCCTGGGGCCCTTTCACTCCCCCGGGGCACAGTGTCGGCGGCAGCACGTGAGACACCCGGGGAGGGGGGGCCCCTGACCCTCATCAGGATCAGACCCGACGGGTGGGCTTCCTTCCCTCAAGCGGGCGGGGCACGCGGTGCCGAGGCCCAGGGACGCCTCCGGGCTCCCGGGGGAGGGGCACAGCCCGTCCACGGCGCCCACGCGGGGCGGCCCGGTGCCCGCAGGCGCAGTCCCACATGCAGAGCTCCCTGGAGGCCGCAGGAGGAGGCGGGGGAGCCGGGCGGGCAGGTGGGCGAGGCGGCGGGGTCCCGGGGGGCCTAGTCCAGCGGCCCCTGGAAGATGAGGCGGACGCAGCCGAGCTCGCCGGTGAGCCAGGCCCCGCAGAAGGGGCAGGCGGCGTGGAAGGCGTGCGTGCCGTGGGGCAGCGGCGTCTGGGCCCAGTAGCGGGCAGTCTTCTCGGAGCAGACGTGGCCGCAGGGCGCGAAGGCGTGGCTGGGCGGCCCGGGGTCCAGGCAGAGGCCGGCCTCCTGGCCCAGCCACAGCGGCACGTAGGGCCCCACGAGGCGGCAGAGCGGGCACTCGCGCTCCTGCGGGCCCCGCTCCCGCCGGCAGCCCCAGCCGTGGTAGCCGTGCACGTGGCCGCAGCGCACGTACACCCAGGGCTGCTGCTTGTCGGGGGCCGTGCGGCCGCGGGCCGGGCTGGGGAAGGCCAGCGTGCTGAGGCCCACGGGGCACTGCGGCCGAGCCGCGTTGGCCTCCTGCCGCTGCGCCTCCAGCTGCTTCAGCGTGGGCGCCCGCAGCAGCCCGGCCGGCGTGCGCCACAGCAGCGTGGCCCCGCACAGGTCGATGAGCGAGCCGTCCTGCAGCTCGTTGGACTCGTTCTCCACCTGCCGGGAGCAGAGGGGCCTGATTGCCCAGGAGGCCCCAAACCCCTGCCATCGGGGACCAGCCGCCCATCCATCCCACGGAGCCTCCCTGGGAGGGCCCCCTGGACGGTCGGAGCTGGCTGGGGGGCGGGTGGGGCTGAGACAGAGAAGGGGAGGGCTGGGGCACAGGAGGGGGAGATGCAAGGAGCCACAGGAGGGCCGGCAGGTGCCCCCGGGGCACACAGGGTCCCTCACAGCAAAGCATGGGCCTTGGCTACCTCATCCCTCAAACCAGGAGGGGTCTGGGTCCACACAGAGTTGTCCCAGGCCGCCCCCTAGTGGCAGAGGCAGGACACTCTTGTATCTCCAGCAGCTGGGCCCCCACCAGCTGTCCTGGAGGCTGTGCTTAAAAGTGCGGATTCTAGCCGAAACCCGTTTGGCTCAATGGTAGAGCGTCGGTCTGTGGACTGAAAGGTCCCAGGTTCGATTCCCGTCAAGGGCATGTACCTTGGTTGCGGGCACATCCCCAGTAGGGGGTGTGCAAGAGGCAGCTGGTCGATGTTTCTCTCTCTCTCTCCCTTCCTCTCTGTAAAATATCAATAAAATATATTCTAAAAAAAAAAGTGCGGATTCTAGAGCTAGCCTGCCTGGGTGTGAGTTCTGGCCTCCCAGTTACTAAATCTGTGTCCCTGGTGGAGTCACTTGATCTTTCTGTGTCTTCATTTCTTTTTTTTTCTTTTTTTTTTTTTTTGTGAGTGTGTCTTCATTTCTTCATCCTCCAGACCAGTGGTGGGCAAACTCCAACAGGACAACGATTGACATTTCTTTGGAGAGCCACATTTTTTTAAACTGAAACTTCTTCTAACGCCACTTCTGCAACACAGACTCTCCCAGGCCGTGGTATTCTGTGGAAGCGCCGCCCTCAAGGGGCCAGAGAGCACATGTGGCTCGAGAGCCACCGTTTGCCGACCACGGCTCCAGACAGATTCCACTTTTCTTGTATGTCAAGTGGTTCTCATGAGTCAATCAACGTAAACCGGAACGTGCCCGGAGCGTAGTGCACGCTAGTGAAATAATTTTTAAAAATCAAGTTTCCCCATCCTCCAGGCACAATCCATGCTCTGGGAAGATAAGCCACGTGGTTCCCTGAGGTTTGGCGGCTCCTGGCCAGCTCTGCACGGCCCACGGGAGGAACTTGGCCACGGGGCCTTGGGCAGGCTCCTGCCTCTGTCCCAGACCCTCTCCCAGCTCCGGGACGGCAGGGAGCAGCCACAGTCACTGTCACCTGCGTCGGAACCGCTCCGCGGGCTCTCCCGCTGGGAGAGGAGAGCAAACCTAAGCCCGTCTGAATGTGACAGACACGTTACAACTGCCACCCACACTGTAGGCTGTCAACTGCTCACCCGTGGGCCAGGTGTCGGTCTCTGGGGAGCGTGTGGTTTTTCTCGGCTGCTGCCACCCTCTAAGGATGTGTCTGCGCCACTTCCTATCGCCCTGGGACCTCCCTCGAGGGTGGCACTCGGGGACGTGGGTCTGGTCCCCTCTGTGCAGCGGTGGCACGGGGAGCCTGCGGGGGCTCCGTGGGGAGGGCTGGAGCCCACCTCCTGGCCCGGGCAGGGGGGCGGGCAGATGTGGAGATCCCAGGAAGGATGACTGCGCGGGGAAGGGGGGATGGGGCAGGCCACCTACCAGCTTCCCCCGCTGCTGTGCCGAGCGGCTGTCCCTCAGAGAATAGACGTTCCCACAGACTGAGATCTCCCGCCAGACACCTGGGGCCGAGTCCTCAGAGAAGCCGCCCGCTGGGTGCATCACCAGGACCCCATTGGTGGTTAAGCCGTCCATCAGGCCATCGGGGGTCCGCCATTTGGCTGCTCGCTCCTGGGACCACACGTGGGATCAGACCACACCTCCCCCAAGTGGCCCCCAGCAGGTCATGAGCCGGGAGGGGGGAGGGGGGCTGTCCCTCTACCCTCAAGGTCACAGGTAGCCCAGAGGGGACTCAAGTGGTCCCTGCCTGGCCTTGGACGTCATCTGACCTCTCCGAACCTCACTTTGCTCATTTGCTAAGTGAGGTGCTCATCCTTGCACAGGTCACCGTTAGGACTACGGAGGGCTGGTCCATCACCCCAGAATGCTGCCCCTCCCCAGCCTACCCCGCCGCTCACTCTCAGACGCAGCGCCGGTCCCCGCCGGGGGGGGGGGGGGGGGGGCTCACTCACTCCGAGGAAGATGTTGCTGGAGGCATCGAAGCCGGCGGCGTAGAGACGGGCGGTGTAGGGCGGCCGGCGGTCACACAGGATGCGGCAGGCGTATCGGGAGATGGTGCTCTGGGGAGAGGGGCCCTCGGCCACCCCGCCTCCGGGAGACGTGTCTGTCACCACAAAGTCGATCATGTTCTCCGTGGAGCGGCCGATCTGTGAGGAAGGGGAGGCCAGCCCGGGGACGCTGTGTGTACAGGTCCATCCCCCGGGCTTCCCGGTAGCTGCTCTGCACGTACAGTCACCAGATAATGAGGGGCAGCCCCGTCCCAAGTCACCCGGGAGCTCAAGTCCAGTTGCCAAGGTCTAGCACTTCTCCCTCGCCTCCCCCAAGGTTCTGGGGAGCACCCCACTCACTAGAAACTAGTCCACTTGCCGACTGAACAGTGAAAGGGGGATGCCCACGGTCTGGGAGCGCTCACATGTCAGCAGCAACTGGTGAATTGTTAGTGCTTATTGTATGCCAGGCTCCTTGCTAAGCATGTTCTGTGCGATATCTCCGTTCGTCTAACCAGTAACTCCATGGGCCCCCTGAGCCGTGAGGTAAGCAAGGCCTGGAGAGGTTAGGTGGCTCTTACTCAACGCCACTAAGCTAATGTGCAACGGAGCTGGGATCTGAACCAGGCGGTGTGACTCTCACACGGCACCCTGAACCCCTCCACCGTGCGTCCTCCCACCCTGAACCCCTCCACCGTGCGTCCTCCCACCCTGAACCCCTCCACTGTGTGTCCTCCCACCGCTGGGGAGTCCGGCCTTGGGTCTGAGTCCTGACGCAGCTTCGGCCTGCTGTGGGCCCTTGCCCTGGAAGGTCTGCAGAGCCGCGCACGGAGGCGTGAGGGAGGCCCGAGCATACCTGGAACATGTCTGTGTCGCTGTCGTGTGTGTACTCGACGATGACCGAGTGGCTCCGGGACAGGGTGTAGGAGATGCTGTGCTGGCCTCGGTTGCTCAGTGCCTGTGGGGAGGAGGAAGCTAGCTCTCAGGCGCACAGCCAGGAGAGGGGAGCTCTGAGCTGAAGCTGGGGCCCTGTCCGGCGGCCACTCCGGGGAGGGCAGTTTTGCCCTGTCAGAGGTGTGCGGCGCGGCCAGTGCCTCACACAGGCGACCTCTGCTCGCTCAGCGCCCCCCCCCCACACCAAGGAGCCAGGTTACCGCTCCTATCGGACCGCCGAGGGAACCGCAGCTCAGAGGAGGAGGAAATGGCCTCCTCGTGGAGCCAAAACAGCAATCCTAACCCAAAAGCTTTTCCTTTGTCGCTTCTGTGTGACTCTCATGGCCCCTCTGACCCCGGGCTGCCTCTAAAATTAGCCCTCGCTGGTGTGGCTCAGTGGATGGAGCGTTGGCCTGCGGCCTGAAGGGTCCCAGGTTTGATTCTGGTCAAGGGCATGTACCTCGGTTGCGGGCACATCCCCAGTGGGGGGGGCGTGCAAGAGGCAGCTGATCGATGACTCCCATCGATGTTTCTAACTCTATCTCTCTCCCTTCCTCTCTGAAATCGATAAACATATATTAAAAATAAAATAAAATGATGCTACCCAGGTGGCGTGGCTCTGTAGTTGAGCGTTGACCTATGACCTAGGAAGTCACACTTTGATTCCCAGTCAGGGTACCTGCCCAGGTTGTGGGGCAGATTCCCCCAGTGTGGGGCAAGCAGGAGGCACCCGATCAAAGATTCTCTCTCATCATTGATGTTTCTATTCTCTCTCACCCTCTCTCTTCCTCTCTGAATTCAATACAAATATTAAATGAATAAATAATAGCTGTTCAGTGGGTGGCGAAATGCTTTGCAAACTGGACTGGACTGTGCACCCTGCAGAGCCTCCCCCATCTCTCTGGCAGCCTCATGGGCAGTGAGTGCAGACACGGCGGGTGGCGGGCTCCGGGCCCGGGGCTCCCGGCTCCGGCGGGCGGGCGGAGGGGGCAGGACCTCCCCGGCCGGGGCTGCTGGGCCGCGGCTTGCCTTGGAGATGAGCGGCGTGGAGATGTGGTGCATGACGTCCGGCTTCACCCCGTTGGCGTGCGGCCTGCGGTTCAGCGCCAGGCGGCTTCGCCGGCGGCCCTTGTCCCCGCTCGACAGGCACCCGTTGTAGCTGTGGACACGGGGGGTGGAGAAGAGGTGGCGGGGAGACACAGGTGAGCCTTTGAGAGACCAGTAGGGCAGATGCCACCTTAATAACAAGCCCCGAACTACCTGACACCACAAGGCCCGGCGTATCCGAGGGGCGCCTCTCGGGAGCGGACGGGATCAGAACGTCCTCACAGGACTTTTCATTAAATTAACGGGTGAGCCGAGACCGGTTTGGCTCAATGGATAGAGTGTCGGCTTGGGGACTGAAGGGTCCCGGGTTCGATTCCGGTCAAGGGCATGTACCTTGGTTGCGGGCATATCCCCAGTAGGGGGTGTGCAAGAGGCAGCTGATCGATGACTCTCTCTCATCGATGTTTCTAACTCTATCTCTCTCCCTTCTTCTCTGTACAAAATCAATAAAATATATTTTTTTAAAAATTAACGGGTGATTCCTGCCCCCTCAGCCGTGCCCGGCCAGGCGCTGGGCGCTGGTTTGGCAGAGGTGACGAACCACAGGTCAGTTCTATGCCCTAGTGGTGGGGGAGGGGGATCCTCAGCTTTCCAAGGAACCTGGGTGCCACCTGCCATGACTCAGGCACAAGTCAAGTGCACCACAAGCCCAGAGGCAGGAGACGGGCGTCCTGGCCCAGGATCACATTTCTGGGAGAGGGAACACCTCTCCCGGGCCCTGAAGAACTGGAAAGGAGGCACCTTCAGCAAACTGCCATTTATTGCACCATGGTACTGCTGGGAACCAGAATGAAAGAAAAAACTAGACCCGCAATGCCACGACCTCCATATATCCATTCACTTCAAAAGTCTACCTTCCTGTCCAGCTCTGGTTGGAGGGAAGGATGTGGAAATCAAGGATGGGCTGAGTCCCAGACCTGATTGCTGCCGTGTACTGGAGCCTCCCATGTTCCTGGGGCTTCGTTAATTACCTAATGGAACCTGTGCAATGTCCTGCCAAGCCAGGATCTTCTTCCCATTTTACAGATGAGGAAAACTGAGGCTCAGGGAGGGAAAATGACTTGCCTGAGGCTAATAAGAGAAAGTCTGTCTGACTCCAGCCTTTCCTGCAGAAGCCCTCCAGCCTTTCCTGCAATGGCCCCGAGGCTGGCAGAGCTTGACGAGGCCAGGGCATGGTGACCCGGGTGGCGAAGCGCAAGGGGAGCAGATGAGGATTGCGGAAGGGCCCAGAACACCAGGCGGAGGAGTCTGGGCTTTATTCTTTAAGCAGTGGGGAGCCCCGGGTGGTTTGACAGGATGAAGAGAGGCCATGTACAGCCAAGGACCACTTGATCCGAATCTGCCAGGAGCTTGTTACCATACAGAATCCCTGGCCGCACCCATGGAGATGGGAGATGGGAATTCTGGAGGCTCGGGATGGGCCTGTCACTGGCCACTTTCCATGTCTCTCCAGCTGGCTCAGAGGTACCGCCAGTGTGGGCTTCAGTGCTCGGCACTGATCCGCCAGCCGTCCAGAGGGCCCAGCCCTAGGTCTGTGCTCTCCCCCATCACTAGCCTCACCTTCATCTACACAGACAGCCCTGCCTCTGGGACACCAAGCAGCTGCTGTTCTAAGGCAAACCCGCCTGAGCGGGCATCACTCTTACCCCTGTAAGCTCCTTCCCCATGGGGGGTGGGGCAGCTCAGGACCCAGGCTGAGGCTCAGGAGGGCCTAGCTGACATCCTGGCTTGTCCATTTATCACATGACCTCTGTAAAATGGGGCTAATTTCTCAGGACCTACCGGTGGGTCCATTGTGAGAACTAAACGAGATAAAGCTTTTAAAAATGCTTGACACAGAGTTTGGCATATATACAGCAGACCCTTCATACATGTCAGCTATTATTATTTTTAAAAGCACATGGGCCTGGCCAGTGTAGCTCAATGGTTGAGTGTTGACCTATGAACCAGGAGGTCACGGTTTGATTTCTGATCAGGGCGCATGCCCAGGTTCCGGGCTCCATCCTCAGGAGGGGGCATGCAGGAGACAGCCGATCAGTGATTCTTTCTCATCAATGATGTTTCTATCTCTCTCTCCCTCTCCCTTCCTCTCTAAAATCAAATAAAAAAATTTTTTAAAAGCACATGGCATGTATAGTTTAACAAACAGTAGCCCTTATTATTTCTACAAAATCATCGTAATGATGACATAGCTTCTTGAGTATTTTCTCCAGGGCAGATGGCAGAGAGAAAGGGGGAGAAAGAGGGACCTGTGTCTGGGAGAAATGCAAAGTGGCTGTTGCAGGGATCCTGGTCAGACAGAGCCAGGAAGTCTACCCAGCCACCAACTCACATCACTTCCTCTCTTCCGGCCTGTTTTCTCATCTGTGGCATGAAAACCAGCTGTGGCTTTTAGTGAACGCACACTAGACCGAGAGTAAGAAAGACCTGGATCCAAATCCCAGCCCTGCCACTTACCAGCTGTGTGCCCTCGGACCAGTCACTTCCCCTCTCTGAGCCTCGGTTTCCTCACCTCCTTCCTCACAGCATCTTGTGAAGATTAAAATGAAACAACGTCCATGAAAGGGCTTGGCACAGGCCTGCCTCCCAGAACACTCGCTCCGTGCCAGGCCCTGGTCTCTGCGCTTTACAGAAATCGCCCTGTTCCTTCCTTCCAGCAGCCCTCTGAGGCGCGGTCTCCATCCCTGTCTGCCAGGGGCGGAGATGGAGGCGGAGGGAAGTTCACTTGCAGAGGCAGGATCTGAACCACGCGATTTGGATAGAGAACCAGAGTTCCCCGCCTCAGACAACACGCTCACAAGGTTCTTTTAGGAAAAGCAGCTGATCAGAAACAGGTGGGCAGCTCAGAGGTGTCTTCGTAATGAGAAATGGGAAGATAAAATATCGGTTATGAATTCCGTGGGTTTGGTCAGCTCTGTCTCTCGGCGGGGAAGAGGAGGAGGGACAAAGAGCAGAGGGCCGCGGATGGGGAGAACTGGGGCCCTCGGTTTGGTTGCCCTGCCGGGGGGCCTGGGGCCCCGCCCCACCTGGACCGGGACGCTCACCCCAGGACGATGAGTTCGCCATACTTGATGGGCTCCTCGCCCGGCTGCACGTCTTCCCCGGAAGAGAGGATGCAAGAGCCCTGGCTTCCAGGGCGCTGGAGGTCTGAGGTTCGGGGGGACCCCAGGTCGGGGTTTCCTTCCAGCACCATTCTGGGCAAAAGGGGAGAGGAGGAAAAGAGTTCTGTTCCCTCCCACCCCATCCCCGCTCAGTGCCAGCTCTGGCCTGCTGCAGGGCCACTTAGGCTAACAGCCAGAATGACCTTTCACCGCCGCTGTTACTATGGCAACCGCTTCACCTCTGCCTCTCCTGAACCGCCCTGGGTTGCTGGGATACCGGGGAAGGGAGTTGATAGGTGGAATGGAACCAGGAGGGGGAAGCCCCACGGAGGATCAGAAAATGTGGTGGGTCAGAGGGATGAACTAACTTGGCGTGGCCAGAGGCTTCTTTCCGGCCAGGACCCCAGTCTGGGATGTGTTCGGCAGATGGGTACCCCAGGAGTTGGGGGTCCTTAACTCCTCATCTTCTTAGACTCAGTTCCTGGGTTTAGCTCTCAGCCCCAGGACCTGCCTTCTGTCAGGTTCCTGGAATCTGTCCTTTTTCATCTTTCCGCCTCTTTGCAGGGCTGGCCTCTGTCTGTCTGCTTCCTCAATGACTCTTCGTCCTCCCGCCTCTGTCCTTTTCCCACCTCCCTTCCCACCTTCTCCCCCTTCTCCGCCGGTGTGTCCACCTCCACCTCCCTATCCCGCTGCCTCAGTCTGTCCCCTGGGCCTCGCCCTCCGGCCAGGCCTCCGGCCCCAGGGCGGTGCGCGCCCCCCGCAGGTGTCTGTCTGCAGTCCCGGGCTGTCTGGTCCCCGGGGGCCTGTGGGGGCGGCGCCCCCCTCAGCCAGGCTGCAGCGGAGCCCATCTCCGCAGGAAGCCTGTTTGGAAAACACCCGCGCGGGAGGGGCCGCGCCGGGCAGGCCCGCGCCCCGCGCCCCGCACCCCGCACCCCGCACCCCGCACCGGGCACGGTGACGGCCCAGCGCATACGCAGATACACGGGCCCTCCGCACCCCCAGCCCCGCAGGCAGAGCCAGGGGGGCGCGCGGCCAGCCCCGGTCCCGCGGCCGCGGGCGCCCCAACAGCCCCCGGCGCCCGCCCTCGGACCCGCTCCCCCTGCCGCCCCCAGACACGCAAACACGCCCCCCGCGCCCGCCCGGCCCGCCCGGCCAGCCCCCGCCCCCCCTCCGCCCGGTCCTCACCCGCCGCGCCGGGGTCCGCTCCGCGCCGCCCCCCCGCACCTCACTCTGCGCCGCCCGGGCCGCTGCGGCGGGATGGGCCCGGCCCGCGGCTCCGCGGCCTCGTCACAGGGACACCCGGGGCCGAGGGAGGGGACCAGCGCGAACCTCCAGGCTCCGCCTCCCGCCCCGGCCCCGCCCCCGGCCCCGCCCCGGTAGAGCCCCGCCCACCCGGACCCCGCCCCCTGCGGCGAAGTTCAGGCCTGGCGGGCTGGCCCCGCCCCTTCTTGGGAGACCACGCCCCTCCGGCCCCGCCCCCGGCGCTGGACGTCCCAGGTCGCCGCTGTCTCAGAACTCGGTGGACTACCATCGCGGGTTCGGGACTCCCTGGTAGCCTAGTTCGGGCTCCCCAGACCCCGCCCTTATTTCTGGGGGTTTCCTGGGTCCCCCCCAAAGACCTGGGCTCCCCATCCTCCACCGCAGTCTAGGGCCTTAGCGCTGGGCAGGAGGCCCCTCTCCCCACATTAGTCCAGGGTCGCTCCACCTCCGCCTTCTGCTTGGGGAAGCCGCAGGATGAGAGGAGAGAGCTGGGCGGGAAGTAGAGGGAGAAGGAAATGCCAGAGGAGGCCCACGGGGGAGAGAGGGTTGTCGTCTGCAGGGTGGCCGCCGAGAACCGCTGAGTCAGACCTTTTCTTCCAGCCCAGCTGGGCCACTTTGCTTCCTTGTTGCCTTCTGGCCCATTCTGGACCCCTGGAGCCCAGGAACACCTCCCTCCCGCCGGCCGGGCACACACGCACACACACAGACACACACACACACACACACCACGGCGAAATGCCACAAAAGGGACGGAGGGCCCACAGCCCCATGCGGGCCTTGGCCTGAAAGAAATCTCATCTCTTGGTCTGTACGAGGTGCTACCCACTGTACTCTGAGCAAAACAAGCCCTGTCATGGCTGGGAGGCAGGCACGATAATCACCCATTTTACAGGTGAGAAAACAGACTTACAAACTTGGTCGTGGTTATTCTGCTAGAAAGGAGCCAGGAGCGGATTTCAGCTGTGCGATTCCAAAGTCTGGACTCCTAACTTCCTAACTGGTGATAACTAGGAGTGGCAGGACGGGCTCGGAGCAGGAGAGGCCCGAGATGCATCCGATGAGATCTCTTTAGGACATTATCTCTTGATATGTTTGGAGCTATAATCAAGAAACAAGGGAAGCTTAGAAGATGGATTCTTTTTTTTTTTTTAAATATATTTTATTGATTTTGTACAGAGAGGAAAGAAAGGGAGAGAGATAGAGAGCTAGAAACATCGATGAGAGACAGTCATCTATCAGTTGCCTCTTGCACACCCCCTACTGGGGATATGCCCACAACCAAGGTACATGCCCTTGACCGGAATCGAACCCGGGACCCTTCAGTCCTCAAGCCGACACTCTATCCATTGAGATTGAGCCAAACCGGTCCTGGCAGAGGATGGATTCTTAACCTGTATCTTTGGAGTGAGCGTGTGTTCCATAGAGGAACTCAGACAGGGCTGCCCAGAGGAAATGTCCTGAAAGTGACATGAATTTGCCCACAAACATCCTGAGAGGTTGCATCCTCCCCCACCCCGACTGCTGCCTGAGAAGCTCCGGTCTCTGAGACCACCTGGGCCCACCACATTCACACATCCCACTAACGCCCCCACCAAAAATAGTCTCGGCTACCAACTGCTTTGCCAACTGTTCTGGGGCCTCTGTCAGATGAAACGAGAAAGCCGCGGACAGCAAGTCCTTCAGGGGCAAAGCCTCCTGATCAAAAGGAAACACCACTGAGCAAGCTGGGCTGCTGCGCTGCCAGCAGCAGGCCCTGCAAACCCTGCACCACAACGCAGCTCCATCCCTGAATGCCTACAGTGTGCCCTCTCCCATGCCAGGTATGCACAGCTCCAGTAGGACATAGGGACACTGGGACAGCCTCACTGCCCTCTGCCCTCCCAGCTGCTAGCGCGCTGTCTGCCAGAGCAGGCCCAGTGACCGTGTGCGGTTACTATGGATACCTCAGTTCACAAATGAGACAAAGGGGACTCTCTTTTAAAAGTTTTTTTCTTTCCTTTTTGGCAGGGGGGAGATACCTGTCCCAGATCCCACAGCAAGGTAAGTACAGAGCTGAGGTTTGTCCAGAGCCCCGTACCACCAGAAAGACAATGATTTCTCCTTCCGGGGAGTGCTGGGATCCACTCGGATCAGAGCTGCATGGCGGGCACAGCCAGACCTTCAGGGGCCTCCAGAAGCCTGAGCTGGGACTGATCCCAGCACTGTCCAGACAGGGGAGGAGAAGGGACAGCTGGATACCACCAACAGACACACATGCCCAAGCTTCAGTCTTGGTTTCTGGCTCTGAGTCCCATGCTCTATGCCAAGAACTCCAGTTTCTTAATCTCTGTCCTCAGTATCTTTATTTATAAAATGGAAAGAATATTAATACCTACCTGTAGTGGGATAAAAACTTGCAGGAAACAAAGGGGGAGGACTGGGGAGCGTCAACAATACTGTCAACAATTTTTAAAAAGTGCAGGAGCCCTGGCCAGTTTGGCTCAGTGGATAGAATGTCAGCCTGCAGCCGAAACCGGTTTGGCTCAGTGGTAGAGCATCGATCTGCGGACTGAAAGGTCCTGGGTTCGATTCCGGTGAAGGGCATGTACCTTGGTTGCGGGCACATCCCCGGTAGGGGGTGTGCAAGAGGCAACTGGTCGATGTTTCTCTCTCATCGACGTTTCTAGCTCTCAATCTCTCTCCCTTCCTCTCTGTAAAAAATCAATAAAATATATTTAAAAAAAAAAAAAAAAAAAAAAGAATGTCAGCCTGCAGACTGAAAGGTCCCAGGTTCAATTCCGGTCAAGGGCACGTGCCCTGGTTACGGGCTTGATCCCCAGTGGGGGGTGTCTGATCAATGATTCTCTCTCATTGTTGGTGTTTTTCTCTCTCTCCCTTCCTCTCTGAAATATATATATATAATTTTAAATATATATATAATTTTAAATATATATATATATATATATATATATATATATAATTTTAAATGCAGTATTATTCTGAAATCCCTTTGTTCAGCCCCTCCCTTCTCTCCCTTCAATCTAGATCTTAACCTTAAACTGCTTCAGGGGGGGGGCGGGGATGGAGACAAAGAGAAGAACAAGATATAAGTTTACTTTTTTAAACTAAGATTGTTTATTTATTTATTTTTTTAATATATTTTATTGATTTTGTACAGAGAGGAAGGGAGAGAGATAGAGAGTTAGAAACATCAATGAGAGAGAGTCATCGATTAGCTGCCTTTTGCACACCCCCTACTGGGGATATGCCCACAACCAAGGTACATGCCCTTGACCGGAATCGAACCCGGGTCCTTCAGTCCCCAAGCCGACGCTCTATCCATTGAGCCAAACTGGTCTCGGCTAAGATTGTTTATTTATTGGTTGGTTTTTAGAGAGAGAGAGGAAAGGAGAGAAGAACACAGAGAGAAACAGAGAGACACTGTGAGGCTAGGCCAGGCTCTGGCAGGCTGGGCCTCGCTCGCAGAGCTGAGCTTGGGCAGAGCCCTGTGGGCCAGCCTGGCCTGTGGGCCTCTCTCAGGGACTCTGAGCAGTGTGCGAGCGCTACTTTCAAACTATTCAGAGAGACTTGGAATCCCAACAGAGATGGTAAGCCATTTGCTCTCTGGCTGTTACAGAAAACATCTTGCTAACCTCTCTCTGATCTAGGATTTTTTAATTCCCGTTATAGTCTCGCACAGCTGTTTAAGAACGTGGGAGCGGTCTCTTTACTAAAGACGGTCTTTTCCAAGCCAATTAGCCATTCATTAGGAAGGTGGGGGAGGCAGAGGATAGGCTGCACAGACTGCATAAGAGTCCCTGACTTAGTGACTCAGGTGAACGGATTCCCACTG